GGGGGGGAGCTTCTTTTTGAATTGTATCAGGTGTTTATTTTCTTTTTCCCCCCTATTTCTTTGTAAATATTTTATTATTTAAAATTATTTTTTAACCTCCAGTCATGGGATAAATTCGACTGATTTTGTCCTTTTTTTTCACTTTTATTTATAAAAAGATAATTGCAAATTTGAGTGAGTAGTTGTTGACTAAAAACGGACGACAAAAGAAGTTACTGTTTTCCTCCTTTTTTTCACTTTTATTTGTAAAAGAATAATTGCAAATTTGAATGGATAGTTGTTGAAACTGCCAACTAAGAAAGTGGGAGGTTTTTTTGTTTTTTTTTAACTGCAAAAGCTCAATCGTGGAGTATTAAACTCAATCGTGCAAAAACTCAATCGTGCAAATAGTTAAATTTTATTTTCCTGAATTGTAGTTTGAATCAATTTGAAACTCCAACTATCTTGGAGAGTTGTCCTAATTTTTGACATGCGTTAAATTGTGAGGATTCCACTTGGTAGCCTATCAGAGTTTTGCTTTTGTTATTCTATATAGATAGATGATCCGAACGTGGGTCGTAAGCTCCCCCACTTTCACTCTCAGTCAAATTTACATTAACCGAGAGCTTACAATGCTTATTATCATCCATCCACCATATCACCTTACCAATACGCAACTTCACACAATCCAAATCATCCATCTAATGCACATCTATCCTTGTGACGGTCATGCCATATTGCTCAACATTTACAACTCTTATAGTAGCATATCCACTTCGCTGAATAGGAAGAAAACTTCTCCATAGAAGCCTAACACCAAATATTAGAAATCGTCCTGAATTTTTGTTTAATGGTCCAAAAACGCCAAAGGATGAGGAACAATCATCCCGAAGCGAAGGGTATTGTTCATTAGACCGTTTTTTTATTAGTCCACAAAATTTTAGGCGATTCATAGCCCGTCGCCTGAATTCATAAAGATGTCGTGAACATTAGCACACGAAATATTGGAAATCGTCCTGAATTCCCATTTTATGGCCCTAAAATGCCAAAACACGAGGAACAATCATGGCGAAGCTATGAGTATTGTTCATTAGGTCATTTCTGATAGGTCCACAAAATTTTAGGCGATTCGTAGCCCGTCGCCCGAATTCATGAAGATGGCGTGGACATTGACACACGAAAATTTAAAAATCGTCCTGAATTCCTATTTTATGGCATAGTCATGGCGAAGCAATGGTTACTGTTCATTAGATCGTTTCCGATGGGCCTATAAAAGTTTAGGCGATTCCGAGCCCGTCACACGAATTCATGAAGATGCCGTGGATATTAGCACATGAAAATTGGAAATCATCATGAACTCTTCTCTAATGGCCCTAAAACGCCAAAAAACGAAGAGCAGTCATTGCGAAGAGAAGAATATTTTTCATTAGGCCGTTTTTGATGGATCCACAAAATTTTAGGTGATTCGGAGCTCGGAGCCCGAATTCACGAAGATTTCATGGACATTAGCACACGAAAAATTGGAAATTGTCTTGAATTCTTATTTTTCTAAAACGCCAAAAATCGAGGAACTGTCATGGCGAAGCTATGAATATTGTTCATTAGATTGTTTGTACTAGGCCCACAAAACTTTAGAAGATTCGGAGCCTGTCGCCCGAATTCATGAAGATGGCATGGACATTAGCACACGCAAAATTGGAAATCTTCCTGAGTTCCTATTATATGGCCTAAACGCAAAAAAATATGGAACGGTCATGGCGAAGCAAACCTGAGATGCATTTCCTCTAGCTCCCGAGAAAGACTTCTGGTTCCGGCGAACGAATAATCATTGAGTCCTCGGTATTGTTCATTAGGTCGTTTCTGATGGACCTACAAAAGTTTAGGAGATTCGGAACGAGTCACCTCGAATTCATGAAAATGTCGTGCATATTAGCACACGGAAAATTGGAAATCATCCTCAATTCCTGTCTAATGGACCTAAAATGCAAAAAAAATGAAGAACAGTCATTGCGAAGCGAAGACTATATTCATTAGATCGTTTCTGATGGGTCCACAAAATTTTAGGCGATTCGGAGCCCGTCGCCCGAATTCATAAAGATTTCGTGGACATCACACGAAAAATTAAAAATCGTCTTAGGTTCCAATTTTTCTAAAATGCCAAAAAGCGATGAACTGTCATGACGAAGCTATGACTATTGTTCATTATCTCGTTTCTAATAGGCCCACAAAATTTTAGGAGATCCGGAACCCGGAACCCGAATTCATGAATATGGCTTGGACATTAGCACACGAAAAATTGGAAATCTTCCTCAATTCCTGTTATATGGCCCTAAATTGCCAAAAAATAAGGAACAATCATAGCGAAGCAATGGCTATTGTTCATTAGGTCGTTTGTAATGGACCCAATAATTTAAGGAGATTCAAATCCTGTCACCCGAATACATGAAGATGTCGTGGATATTAGCTCACAAAAAACTAAAAATCGTCCCGAATTCCTATTTTAAGACCCTATAACGCAATAATAATAATAATAATAATAATAATAATAATAATAATAATAATAATAATAATAATAATAATAATAAGGAACAGTCACGGCGAAGAAATGACTATTGTTTATTAGGTAATTTCTGAAGGGCCCACAAAATTTTAGGCGATTCGAAACCCGTCGCCTGATTCATGAAAATGGCGTGGACGTTAGCACATAAAAATTAAAAATTATCCTGAATTCCTGTTTTATGGCCCTAAAATGCCAAAATACAAGGAACAATCATGGTAAAGCAATGACTATTGTTCACTCTTTTGTTTCTGATGGACCCATAAAATTTTAGGCGATTTGGAGCCAATCGTCCGAATTTATGAAATGGCATGGACATTAGCACACGAAAAATCAGAAATCGTCTTGAATTCCTGTTTTATAGCCCTAAAACATCAAGACGAGGAACGGTATGGCAAAACAATGATTACTGTTCATTAGTTCGTTTTGATGCGATCACAAAATTTTAGGCGGTTCGAGCCCGTCGCCCGAATTCATGAAGATGGCATGGGCATTAGCACATGAAAAATCGAAAATCATGATGAATTCCTGTTTTATGGCCCTACAATGCCAAAAATTAAGGATAGTTACGGAGAAACAATGACTATTATTCATTAGGTCGTTTCTGATAGGTCCACAAAATTATAGGCAATTCGAGACTGATCGCCTGAATTCATGAAGATGACGTGGACATTAGCACACGAAAAATTGAAAATCTTGTAGAATTCCTATTTTATGGCTCGAAAACACCAAAAAAATGATGAACGGTCATGGAGAAGCAATGACTATTATTCATTAGGTCGTTTCTGATAGGCCTTCAAAATTTAAGGGATTCGGGGTCAGTCGCTCGAATACATGAATATGGCATGGACATTAGCATACGGGAAATCAAAAATCATACTGAATTCCTGTTTTATTAGCCTACAACGCCAAAAAATGAGAAACGGTTATGGAGAAGTAATAACTATCGTTTCATTAGGTCCTTTCTTATGAGCCCAAATTTTTTTAGGTGATTCAGAGCCAATCGGCCGAATTTATGTAATGGCATGGACATTAGCACATGAAAAATTTGGAAATCGTCTTGAATTCATGTTTTATGGCCCTAAAACATCAAGACGAGGAACGGTCATGGAAAATCAATGATTATTGTTCATTAGTTCGTTTGTGATGCGACCATAAAATCTTAGGCGATTCGGAGCCCGTCGCCCGAATTCAAGAAAATGGCTTGGACATTAGAAACACGAAAAATCGAATATCGTCCTGAATTCCTATTTTATGGCCCTAAAACTCCAAAAATGGGGAACAGTCATGGCATAGTTATGACTATTATTCACTTAGGTCATTCTGATGGGCCCACAAAATATTAGGCGATTCTTAGCCCGTCGCCGGAACCCATGAAGATGACATGGATATTTGCAAACGGAAAATTGAAAATCGTCTTGAATTCTTGTTTTATGGTCCTAAAAACTCCAAAAGGAAAGGAATAGCAATGGAAAAACGATCTCTATTGCTCATTAGGTTGTTTCTGATGTGCCCGCAAAATAATAGGCGATTTGGAGCCCGTCACCCGAATTCATGAAGATGGCGTGGACATTAGCATACGAAAAATTGAAAATCGTCTTGAATTCCTAGTTATGGCCCTAAAACGGCAAAAAATGAAGAATGATCATGATGAAACGATAACTATTGTTTATTAAGTCATTTCTAATCGGCCCAAAAACAATCTTAGACGATCCAGAGCTCGTTGTCCGAATTCATGAAGATGGCATAGACATAAGCGCACAAAAAATTGGAAATCGTGCTGAATTACTATTTAAGGACCTAAAACGCCACGAGGAACGATCATGGAGAGGTAATGACTATTGTTCATTAGGTCTTTTCTGATAGGCCCACAAACTTTTAGGCGATTCGGAGCCGGTCGCCCGAATTCATGAAGATGGCGTGGATATTAACACACGAAAAATCAGAAAACGTCCTGAATTCTTGTTTTATGGTCCTAAAAAGTCAAAAAATGAGTAACGGTCAGGACGAAATAATGACTATTGTTCATTTGGTCATTTCTGGTAGGTCCA